TGAAAATGATACTTTGAGAAGATTACTTGTTTCATCCAAGAATCTTTTAACGCTTTTATTCGCATCTGTTGTGAATATTGGTAATTTTGGTAATAAAAATGATGCTGGCCTGGACCTTTTCATCGTCGCAGGTGTCCTCGTGACCCCGGGAGTCTTAGTTTTAGCCCTCCTGATGTTGTAAGGAGTTCGTGGTTCTGGATTGATTACTTTAACATCTTTAGTCATTTCTGCAAACTTCAGCACCTGCAGATTTTCTTCATAGTCTCTAAGAGAAGGATTTATGCAAACCACCATCCTCACTTGACCTCCTCCTTCGAAGTAGTTTTTAAAAAGCAGTGTCAAGCGACTGTCCCTATATGGGACCAATTTGTTATTACCAGTTTGCTGGTTTTCTCTTAATGTTTCCAGACAAATACGTAAAGTCATCAAGGAATTATTGATAATACTGGCTTCTTTTAATCTTAGGCCTTAATAAAAAAAAATGGACATTAATAAACATAAATTGAGTAATAAGTTGATATCCAAATAAGTAAGGCATTTAAATAGCCAATTCACACTATTGGAATTTTTATGAACCAGCTCAGAATGTTTATTAATTACTATTAATAAAATTAATTCAGAAATTCAATTAATATTTAATGTATGAGATATATACGAAATAATATTGATATATATTACTGTCAGGGTATGTATGTAAGTACAGTGAGTTTATTTCAGACCGGTGAAATATGCTTTACTATTAAATGATTTGTAAAATTTACAACATTATTTACCTGTAGTTTGTGTCCGACTGCATCTTTCTGAACCTGCTAAATCCACTAAACTCAACTGTCCCACCCTCATTATATTATTTTCTGGAACTGCAGCTTGTCCATGACTATTTTGTGCAACTTGTTCTATTTGCACAATACGAATATTAAAAATTGAGTGACTGCGACTAGATTCTGCATTAAGTGCCGTGTAAGCCATACGTTTTCTCTTCTGCCCTTTGAAAAATAGTTCGTAGGCTTCTGCTGCTGATTTAACTTCTAATTCGACACTTCCATTGACGTACATGTTTTTTTGAGAATCTTCCCTTAAAATTTTCGATTCTGGTCTTGTGGAAGTAGACTCATCAAGCAAATCAAACACAATGTTATTGTAGATTTCAATGTAACTAATGAACACACAGTACAAACTGTTCTCGTTTAAGTTTGTAAGTCTAGAACCATCGTTTGTATAGTAAGACTTACAGTCTCCCATAGCTCTTCGATTAGTTTTGGATATTTTATTTGTTCTAGTTTCTCTAAATCTGTCTTCAACAGCATCACTCTCTGACTGAATTTCAAACCCATTCATTTTATCAGACTTTATCACATATTTTTGTGTTTGAAAATTTGCAATTGTATTAAATAATGTGTCTATACACCGAGGCATAATTCCAGGGTTATTGGGCTCACCTGTTAAAGTGTATGTTTTACCAGACCCTGTGACCCCGTATGTAAATAGTAAACCATTCTTTCCGTTAATGACACCTTCTAGAAGGGGCAAAGCGACATGGTCGAAAATTTCTTTTTGAGAAGAATATGATGTGAAAATATGATTAAATATGTAATGTACATCCCTTTTTGTAGATTTATCTGCAGTCGAACGTATAGTTAATGTAGTTGGTGATAGTAGTTTTATAGAAGTTTCTGTCTCGTTTTCTAATGGTTTTAGTCTGCAAAAGACGTGTACAGATTCACGGCTTCTGTCCATCGAATTTTCTCGGGAACGAGGTGTTTCCATTTTACACTCACACTTAAACCAATCTTAAAGACTTCGAAATCAAGAATTCAGTTAAACACTGTAACCGTTTAAAACTTCAAAGTAGTTTGAAATTTAAACACTTAACCTTCATAGGAAAACCGTTAAATAACGAACTAATTCCAAACAATCATATTCCTATAAGTCCTAATTTCCATGAGCCCTAATACCCAGATACGCAAATATCACAACTTCAAAATCATATACAGGGTGATAATTTATATTTGACATCCCAATTTATTTTTATTATGTACAAATTTATAATGTAAATAATCGAAACCTTTTATAATAATTTTTAGTTTTATATAAAATTATGTCTACGAATAACTTAAAAGTTGTTAAAGATTTAGACGACATCCTTGTATCACTTTCTTTAACATTTTTGTATTAAATACCTAATTAATGAAAAGGTAAAGTAAAATATCAAATATACATAAGTATAAAATCATTCTGATGGTATTGTTGGTATATATAATACTAAAAAGACGCGTTATATTTAAATAAAATTTCAATAACTATTATAATTGACATATTATTGTCAAGATAAAGCAAAATAATTTGTTTAAAAAATGGTATATTATACAATCCTTCACTTTGTGCTGGTGGAGATTCTCGTTTCGTGGTCATGGGTGCATCAAAATCTATAGTGGCCATGCTACCAGGAATTTGCAGTGGAGACATGGGGACCTCGCTGTCTAACAGTTCTTTGACCTTTTTTAGTTTCATATCTTGAGCATCCATTTCAGNATTTGTAATTTTTGCAGGAGTTTTAGAATTGAATGAGGAACGTTCTTCCAAATTTTTATTTGTCTCGTAGCATTTTGACATACCTCCCAAACATCTTTAATTGTACCTATTCTTTTCGGTTAATTGTTTTCTCTTTTCTATTTGAAGGTAATCCCTTTGACTGATTCATTAGGGCTTATACAATGGGTTAAGCACACTGTAGGTTTGGGAGATTTCATGAAAGAAGTATTTGACAAGGACAACAGCATCTGTGAAAGTGTATCTAACAAATATGCTTCATGGATTCAATCTGTGAGTCGAAAAAAGCTCTCTATTGTTCAACAGTATGGGACTGTATCGATGGAGTTTAGTAGGGACAAGACCATAAAGAATTACAGAAACCTCGTTTCTAGTATTCCTTGGGACTGTCTCAGGTAAGATTTTTAAAATATGTCATAAGAAAATGCTAGTCTTAGTCTAGTCTATTATAAAATAAACTGTTAGTATTATAAAATGCCGATACATTAAGGGGATTCAGTAGTACATGCGCCGTAGAGTAAAACCATACTTATCAGTTCTAGATATCATGTGTTTAATGTTTGGAACAGTGGTTTGAAATTTTGTAGTAAGATAGATAAAGCTTTGTTCTAAAGCCTGTCGAAGGCCATTTTTTATTTTTTTTTTTTCTATTGAAAATACGTATCCTACAAAAAGCATCAACTTTAAACACTTGTAAAAGCTTTCAATGACCATATGACTGAAAACCAAAAACGTAACGAGTTAGTGTGAACTTTTGTTCGTTACCATACAAAAAAATCACATATTTATCTCACAGCGTTAAATCACAATGTTTAGAATAGAAACC